AAGCCAAAAAGAAAAAGGAGAAATAGTAGAAAATAACCGAAATTTGGAATGAGCTACATTGTTTAAGATTTACAGATAATGGGAAGCTGTGTTAACGTAGTGGATTTATTGACCCTTTTTGTTTCTTTCTTCTTTTTGTGTGTGAGTGTGTGTGTTTTTTTTTTTTAATTTCTTATTTTCTACTATTTCTCCTTTTTCTTTTTGGCTTTACTTTTATCTTACTTTTTTAATTTTAAAGTTAGCTGGCCTTATTATACTCAAATGCTTGTTAAAGAATTATGCCGGGTATGGGACCTGCGAAGCCGTAAGGGGGTTTGATATAGGGGCCTCTCAGGGCCTCCGCGCAGCCCATTTTTGGCTAGCAGAGGCACCACAGGCTGGTCCTTTGATATTTCCAGGCCAGCCTCAGGGGCCAGATTTAAGCACCCCGCAGGCCGGATGCAGCCTGTGGGCCTTGAGTTTGACACCCCAGCTTTAGGCTTTCTAATTTTCTTTCTGCAGGTAATAGTTATTTACTGACTCTTCTTGATGATTTCAAGCATTTTTCATTTTCTGTAACACTCTTTTTAACTTTCAGTCAATCAAAATATTTCTGTGTATTCAGAACTATCTCCTAAGGTGCTGTCTGAGTTTGCTTGTTTTCTTGCAGATGTTTCATTACCCAAACTAGGTAACATAATCAATGCTCATATTCACCTGCAAGAAAACAGCCAAGCTCAGTGAGCACCAAGCACCCTTCATTTCAAACATGAGCTACAAATGTTCTCTTTTATTGGTATTTCCTAAATTGCAGTCATCCATCCCCCCCACCCCCATTGGTATACTATTGTACATCCAATATATAATTTTCAATCGTCCTGTGTTTTGTTCCTGAAGATTTTGTTTATGGGATCCTGCATATTGCTATGATATGATGCCATTAAGTTGCTGTTCACTCTTAACAACCGCATACATATTTTTTTTCTTGGATGATATGACCCCAGCTTGCTCTTTCTGCTCCTCTGATAGCGCATCCACTGTTGCTATAATTGAGTCCATCCAACTTGCTGGTGATTGTCCTCTTCTTCTCTTTTATTATTGAAATATACTCCTGTGAAAGTTATTGCTTGCTTGACCTTTATTTATTTACAAGCTTTGTATGCTGTGTCAAATCTAGTGAAATCTATTGTGGATGTGGGACTGTGCCCCAATTTCTCTGTTGCATGCTGAATCCCCAAATAATGTAGTCATTTCTTTCCACAGTTTTTAACTTTTACAACCAACTCTTCCACACTGGTGAAGATAAAATTATAGAGAGCTGATCTCCTTGTTTTCTCTTTAGCCAGCTAAACAATGAAACTTTGCACTTTCATCCTTTAATATGCCAGTCCTCCATTCCATTGGTGATTGGGGGAATGACTGTTGTTCAGTAAATGCAGGAATGATTGAAAATGAATACAAGTAATTTTAGAATTAAATTATGATATGGAGAGGATGGTTAAAATGTGGGTAAAGCAGAAAATAAGAATGAAATATTTGTTCTAAATGTTATAAAATAAAAGTAATTGGAGTAACTGGAAATATGAAAAAATAGTTTGGGGAATTTGGAGTAGAGTTTGAAAATAAATAATAACATTAATTTGAATAATTATCAGAGGCCACCCAAGCCTGGATGTTGATTGTACAGCTCAAAAGTGTTTATGCCTCCAGCATAAACCTGTCCACAGGCAAATCTGTCAGTAATGTTTGACAAATGATAAGGAAGTGCTACAGTTCTTATCATTCGGACTAAGAAACCCACCCCCACTTCTCCACCACAGCTCACTCTCAATTAGTGAAGTAAAAGCTTGTCTTATATAAATAAAGACAACATTTTCCATTCCCAACAGACTGAGCTTTCATTAGCTGAAAAAGAAAAGCTGTGTCTAAGGAAATCAGGATGTATGACAACCTTTATTTACAATTTTGTTTTTATTCTTTTTATCATGGTTATCAAAACAACATTTTTATTTATTTATAGTTAGGCATCTATCCACATCCAGTTGAAAGAAGATAGATGAAATCAAACTTTAACTCTCACTGTGGAATTTTACAAATTATACAGTAGTAGTTCGGTATAAGCTTTTACCATGATAATTGAAACAACAATTCTATTTATTTTTAGGCCTACGCCAATGTCCAGATTAAAAAATATGAAAGAGATAAATCTTTAAATCTCACTGGCCTGTGGAATTTTACAAATTATACAGTAGTAGTTCGGTATAAGCTTTTACCATGATAATTGAAACAACAATTCTATTTATTTTTAGGCCTACGCCAATGTCCAGATTAAAAAATATGAAAGAGATAAATCTTTAAATCTCACTGGCCTGTGGAATTTTACAAATTATACAGTTGCTGCTCGGTGTAGGTCTGTTTGGTCCAGTCACTGGAGTGATTGGAGCAACAAAGTAACAAAGAGAACGGAAGAACAAGGTAAGAAAAACAGAGCTAGGTTTGGCATAGTGATTTCATTTGCAGATTTAAACATCTCTGGTCATGGTTAATAGCAATAGCACTTAGATTTATATACCGCTTCTTAGTGCATTTACAGCCCCCTCTAAGCAGTTTACAGGGTCAGCATATTGCCCCAAACAATCTGGGTCCTCGTTTTACCCAACTCGGAAGGATGGAAGGCTGAGTCAACCTTGAGCCGGAGAGATTTCAATTGCTGAACTGCAGCTAGCAGTCAGCTGAAATAGCCTACAGTGGTTTTTTTTTTTTTGTTAGTTGCAAAGTCGTGTCCGACCCATCGCGACTCCATGGACAATGTTCCTCCAGGCCTTCCTGTATTCTACCATCCTCTGGGGTCTATTTAAGCTCAAGCCTATTGCTTCAGTTACTCCATCCAGCTACCTCATTCTCTGTTGTCTCATTCTTCTTTTGCCCTCAATCCTTCCCAGCATTAGGCTCACCAGTGAATCCTTCCTTCTCATTAGGTGGCCAAAGTATTTGAGTTCCATCTTCAGGATCTGGCCTTCTAAAGAGCAGTCAGGGTTGATCTCCTCTAGGACTGACCCGTTTGATCACCTTGCAGTCTAAGAGACTCACAAGAGTCCTCTCCAGCACCATAGTTCAAAGGCCTCAATTCTTTGGCGTTCAGCCTTTTTTATGGTCNCCCATCATTCTCAACCTGACAGAGGACGCCTACAATATCAGTTTTACTGCTCATAACAGTGCTGGAGATTCTCCTGAAGCTACTATCAGAATTCCATCAAAACATGAAGAAACAATAGGTATGTTTATGCAAATGTACACAACACAGACTAAGAAAGGGCTTTTAAAATACTGCATACAGCATTACTCCTTGTGCCACTGGTACTTTGTTGCAGTGCATCTGGGAGAGAGAAAGAGAGGGAGACAAAGAGACAGAGAGAGTGAGAGAGAGAAAGAGAGAGAGAGAGACAGAGACAGAGAAAGAGAGACACAGAGAGAGACAGATGGAGACAGAGAGATAAAATGAGACAGAGAGAGACACACAGCGAGAAAGAGAGACAGAGAGAATGAGACGACAGACAGAAAGAGAGTTGCTAAATATACGGATTCTTATCAGAGAATGACAAACCATTTCTGAAAAAGCTTCCTAGGAAAGCTGCACAGGCAGTCTCCAGGAGTCAAGAAGTAAAAAATAAAATAGTAAAATAAAATATATGCATGTATTTATTTATTTACCAGGCCTTCTATGCTAATCCCATAGAAATGCAATTATCTGAGGGAAATTATAGATGTAAGAGACTTATGCAGAGCCTTTGTAGAAAGAATTAAGATTTAGTTAAAGAATACAATATAGGATTTGATTTCTTTGCTCACATAATTAGCTATAGGATAACATTTAGCATGTGAAAAGTTGCTTTGAATTGCACCTAAATGTTCCTGTGAACATGAGTAACACTGCACTAGAAAAATGTAAGTAAGGAGGGAGGGAGCAGAAGTATTGTTTCCAAGACATAAAACACAGTATAACTATTTTAATTTGATCTGCAGTATCAGTTTGAAGTGAATGTGTAAACAATCTCTGTGGTAAAGGTTAATGTAGTTTTCCTGAGAAAGGACACTGTCTTTAATGTCTATAAATATTTTCTCAGTGTAAATCCTCCTGGATGAGAATTTTATTGCCAATTTTGTCCTACTGCTTTTCTTTTGAACCAAATTTTTTCTTCTTGTCTGTATCTGCTAGTTGTAAATCATTATTCATACTCCAAATGACATGGTTTTTTCCCCCAAAATATATATATATATATCTTGAAACCCTACCTTTAAAACTTTGTTCCTATCTGAAGTGTCACATGATAATCAGTTGATTTATGAATGAAGGCAAATATACATGTCCCAGGATAATGTTGCAGGATCCAATCTGAGTTGGTCACCAGGTCCAGAGGCTTATCCTTCCAAGCTCTTGAAGGAAGCCCATCTTTAGGGAACTTATCTGTCTCTTGAATGTGTGTGCTGGGATGTTCTATGTATAGTATTTATGTGGTGCCTGGTTGTGTGTGGGTTTTAGTTGTTAATTGAGACTTTGATGGTTGGCTATAAGTCAATAATTATTTTTTCCTTGTGCTGCCGTGCCCTTGGCTCTTCAGCAGCTGGTAAACTGGTGGTAAATAAGCACTCTGATTAATTGACAGGAGCTTGTTTCCAGGGTTCAGTCATTTCTCTGGCTATTTTTGTCCATGCTCAGTCAACAGTCTTAATAGTTGCAAAGCTGAAAGCATGTTCTTTTTCATTGCAGTATGGGGCTACCAATGAGTTTGTGTCTCTTCATCAAACCACTCATTTTGTTGTTGCAATCTGGTGGCTAGCTTCCTTCCTGTTTGTCCTATATAGTCACAGGGCAATCCACACAGGAAATCTGGTAAATTACATTAGAAGTTTGTCCCATCTCCAAATGAGCTTTGTAATGCATAATTTGTCCTCGTATGGTAGCTTCTGGGCTGTAGGCAATTTGCCCCACTTGCAGAATTTGGAAGTGCGTTCTATTGCTTCCAAAATATTTTTGATGTATGGCAGGGTCTGCCTTAAAGTTGCATGTTCTTTTCTTTTCTCTTCCTTTCTCTCCTGTCCATGTTGTGGTACCCATTCTGCCTGAATTATTCGAATATGGGACCTGTTCCTCAGTGCTTTTGTTTGCTGGGTACTGCAATGGATTTTCACCCTGCCATAGTAGTTTCTGATGCAACTCTTTTTATGTGACAGTGGATGGTTATTGTTGATATTGTTAATTCACTTATTTGAACTCCTCACTACTGGGTTGACATCTATCCAGATGTTGACTTCATCTCATTGAAATCTGAATCATGTTTTGGAAATATTTTCCTTTGCTTACAAGCTGACAAGGAAGAATATTTTACTCTTTTTAGCAACTAAGAACACATCTATGGCCACTCTGCATCCCCACTCACCTGTGGGCTTATTCATTGCTACATTCCCTGTGTAGAACAAAAAGTCTGCTGGTCTCACTAGGCTATTGTTCTGACCTAGGCTTCCTAAGAAAGCATAAATCACAATCTTAGTCCCAAAATAGCAATAGCAATAGCAGTTAGACTTATATACCGCTTCATAGGGCTTTCAGCCCTCTCTAAGCAGTTTACAGAGTCAGCATATTGCCCCCNCCCCATCTGCGGTGATCTTGGAGCCCAGGAAATAATAAATAATAAAGGTTAAAGAACTATCAGTCATATCTTGGTCACCTCCTATTTGGATTACTCTAATGCACTCTGCATAGGGTTGCCCTCAAAGATCACCCAGAAACTTTGACAACTCTAGAGTGGAGCAGCATGCATAGTAATGCAGACCCCTAAGGTTACCCATGTAAAAACCTCAGTTGTGTGAACTGCATTGGCTTCCAGTTTCTTTCCAGATACAGGTCAAGGTGTTGGTCATCACCTTTAAAGCCTTATATGGCAAAAGAGCAGGTCTACCTGTGCTATCAAGTCAGAGAGTGTGAGCATGCATCTAGTCCCTTCCCCTAAATATTGACATTTGTTGGGAGCTGGACAGTATGCCTTTTCCATGCCTTCCCTATGGACTGTTCTTCCCCTGGATGTTTGATAGGCTCCTAGCCTTCCGTAAAGCTGTGAAGACCCATTTTTTTCCTCAAATGCTGGGATAAGATTGGATAATGTTTGACTTGAAGCTGGGGTCTTTCTTGCTTTTTAACATTTTAGCATTGGTTTTATAGTTTTAATATGGTTAGATATATTGTTTTAACTTTTCTTGGGAGCCATGCAAAGTTGATTAGAAGATTGGTGGCTATATAAATTTTTCAATAAATAGATAAATAAACTATTAACTATTTAAACACCTGCATAAATAATGGCACATATATTGTATATATACAGTGAACTCAGCTTAGTTGGGTCTTAGCTGAAGAATACACACATACACACAAATACACACAAACATACACAGTCTTCACTGTTTTTTGGCAGTTCCAGGAAGGGGGAATTGGCTGAAATCCCTGCTGCCTGGAACTGCCCAAAAACGTGCCATGCAGAATGGAGCATTTAGAGGCTGAAAACACAAGGAAGAGAGGCCAAAATCATGAGATGGAGAGGCCAGAAACGTGAGGCACGGAGGCGGCGATGGTCTGTGGCAATCCCTGCAGCCTGGAACAGGTCTAAAATGCGATGTGCGGAGGCCAAAAATGGCCAAATGGTGGAGCCGATGAGTGGGCAGGGCTACATTTGGTGTATAAGACACACTCAAAATTTCCCCCTCTTTTAGTAGTGTCTCTTATACTCCGAAAAATATGTGTAGTGTGCGTGTATGTATACCGTGTTTCCCCAAAAATATGACATGTCCTGATAATAAGGCCATGCCACATTTTTCTGGTGGGCAAAAATATAAGCCCTCCCCTGCAAATAAGCCCCCTTGACAACCCCCCATCTTCAGCCAGGCAGAATGCCGCTCACCAACCTAGCGGTATCCCAAAGTTGCCAAGCCATGGGAACCGGGGGGGGGGGAGCAAAGGTGATTGTGTTGCTTGGCGCCTTCGGGATACCGCTAGATTGGTGAGCTGTGCTGTGCCCAGCTGGAGAGGGGGGGGTGCCGGGTGGCTGCTCTCTCGCTAGCCGGGTCCCAAAGAGCCGAGCACAACCTCAGGGGCGAACAGCTATGTTGTGCTGTCGCAGCAGCACAGCACAGTAGCCATGAAGCGACCACGCTTATGAACAGCCACCCAGAAAATCCCCTTTCCAGCCGTGCACAGCACCATTCACTGACCTAGGGGTATTGCCAAGCCGCGGGAGTGCCTGTTCTCCACTGCCTGGCTCCCGCGACTTGGCACCTTCAAAATGCCAGTGAATGGCGCTCTGCATGGCTGAAGAGAGGGGTTGCATGAATGGCTGTTCCGCTCCCGCTTTCCTCCTAGCCTCACAATGTCCTGGCCCAGCTCTCCCTGCAGAGCCAGAGCACCTCTGCTGCCACCGCCGCCGCTATCCCAGCATGGCTTTTTTGGTGGCTCCCAACTGAGTCTTCCTGCAGTGGCCGCTCTGGGCATACGCTCTATGGTTGTGGACTGGCTGCTGGCAGAACATACTCCCAGAGCGTACAACCATAGAACGTACACAAGAGTGGCCTCTGCAGGAGGACTTCGTTTGGAAACCACCAAAAAAGCCATGCTGGGATGGCGGCGGCAGTGGCAATGGAGGTGCTCTGGCTCTGCAGGGAGAGCTGGGCCAGGGCATTGTGAGGCTGGGAGGCGCGTGAGTGGGAATGGAACAGCCGTTCGTGCAACCCTTCTCTCCAGCCATGCAGAGCGCCATTCACTGGCATTTCAAAGGTGCTAAGCCACGGGAGCCAGGTGCGCGCGCGCGCACACACTCACACTCACACACACACACACAGTACAGATGGGTCTTGTTTTTTGTAAGTATATATTGCAGCAAAAAATGGAACTGTGGGGTAATGTACTGGAGTCTATGGTCATCTGATTCTCCCAAGAACACTTCTTCCCAATTGACTTCCTTTAGAGCAACTTGTTTGGCAGGTGAGATGTAGTTCTTTCTTAAATAGCAGAGGGGCACAGAAGTGACCTTGGAGAAAATATACAGACGCCATTAAAAGAATATGGGCTCAGGATGCCAGGTTGGGGGGGAGGGAGGACAGGACACGAGAAATAGACAAAAAGTAGCTTTGGCTTGATACTTTCTGGTATGAAAGGAAGTAAAAGAGAGACACCGTTAGTTTTCAAGAGTACTAGTATTTCTTCTGGTGTCACCTTGTCATCACCTTGTATTTGGATTAAGTATTTCCAATTATTCGGTCATGATGGTCTGACATATCCAGTTACTAGAATACAGCTGAAATTGCCTCCCTGGGAAAGAACAAAAAATGGAGTGTTATTGTGTTCTTGTTAAGTGCAATGTCTGTTTGCTGTTAGATAAGACTAACCATTACTTAACTTACAAAAGGAAGCGATACCTATCCAAGGAATCAGAAACAATCACTTCTTTTCATATTTTACAATTCGGTTTCATTTGTTTTTAACAGCTCCTTTGAAAGTAGACTTATGGAGAGTAATTGAAACTTGTCCTAATGGAAGCAGAAATGTGCAACTTTTGTGGAAGGTAAAAAATATCAAGACATTTAAAGATTCAAATTTCTTTTTTATGAATATACTGGTTTATTTCTCAGTAGAGTCTTAAAAACTATATATGTAGAAACTTTAAAGTCAAAATCTACCTTATCTCCTTGCTTGGATTTACGTTCCCAGTGAAAGCATAATTCATATCTATTGACTTTGGAAAAGGAATGAATTTAAATTTCTTATTCCAAATTCCTTTCAACAAGTTATTGGTTTATTTTAAGAATCAAGAAGGGAAGAATTGAGAAGAATTATCTAAGAGGGCATTCATTTCTCATTGAAGCATACAGCTTTTTTAAAATGAGAAACAGGAAATATAAGGAACATACCGATGGTTTTCAAGGTTTATCAAGAGCTGAGAAATCCTGGTTATTGGGATTTCTTAAAAGGAAATGGTGATATTCACAGTATCATGCCTAAAGCTAAAAAGACTAAGATAACATTTTGTTTAAATAAAAAAATAGTTTAAAAAGATCCTCCACTGATTGATGTTTTAGAGATTACGTAGCTTTTCTGCAACTGCTGATGAGAATATACAACTAGTAGCTACTAGTCCTGGAAGCTGGTAAAGGTGTGGTTGTATGTAGTGATGTCGATACAAATGGGCCTCATTGGAAAACCTGTTCAAATTGATGATGATGTTGATTCCTATGATTCTGGTACTTTGCATAATTCTTCCAAAGGAAGCTTTTTTAAAAAAATATTTTTTAAAAAAATTGAGGTTTATTATAAAATACAAGAAAACAAAAATGAGAAAATAAAGGGAAAGGAGAAATGGAAAAGAGTATAAAGATAAAAAAGGAAAAGAATACAAGAATACAATAGCAGAGTTGGAAGGGACCTTGGAGGTCTTCTAATCCAATCCCCTGTCTAGGCAGGAAACCCTACACCATTCCAGACAAATGGCTATCCAACATTTTCTTAAAGCCTCCCAGTGTTGGGGCATTCACAACTTCTGGAGGCAAGCTGTTCCACTGATTAATTGTATTCTTTTCCTTTTTTATCTTTATTCTCTTTTCCATTTCTCCTTTCCCTTTATTTTCTCATTTTTGTTTTCTTGTATTTTATAATAAACCTCAATTTTTTTTAAAAATATTTTTTTAAAAA